TGGTAAACAAATACTAGACTGAATTTTAAAGAATGCATTTATGCTATTGTGGTTTATGCACTGTCGGCGAAGTAGATTTAATTCAATCCAATAAGTTTAAATGAAATGCAAGAAAAAAATGCGTATAATTTAATATTCCAATACAAGGAAGTTGTGGTGTACACATCAGATTTTTAATTAATTATCCGGTTGATTTTTGCCGTATGGTAATCAAACTTCTTAGAATTGTATTTTTTCATAACAAGTATAAAATTTTCACAGATATAAGTATAGGAAATGGGAGACTTCATTAAAAGTTAGATTTTGTTTGTCCAAAATTAAAATTTTTAAAAGCTTGACATTGCCAAAATGTGAACGTTTTCATCATTTAAAACACCTCTGTAATTAGAAGTACATGATTATGACCATGACCAATGATAGCAAAAATAAAGGCTGTTTAAGGGAAGTGGGTTATAGCACTCCCATATACAAAATTTCAACATTTTGTGGCTAATCATTTTTGCGGTATGTGACATACATACAGATGTAAAAAATCCATTTTACAATCTGTTCTGGGAAAGAGTCCTTTATCCTGTCCATATCTGCAGATATCATGCAAATAAATGGTGAAAGTGGATTCAGGATGTGGGTGGGTGGATGGATGGATATTTCCATCGAAATATTAATACCTGAATTTTTTTACAATTATGATACTTTCTTAACTTATGCAAGGAAATAATAAAAAAAAAAGTACTTGCATATTAGTGGAACTATCTTGGTGCAGTATAGTAGTTTTTACCAAAGAAGAAAAATGAGTGGTAATTATGAAAAATAATTTATTGTATGCATATATAATGTTTTAAATATATATCTTGAAAACCAGTTTATAAACCTATTTACAAGTGGGATTTGTTTCTTTTGTTTTGGTGAACATTTCATAGCGATGACTTCAAAAAATTCAAAAGAATTATTTCCTTTGCAGTGGCAAAATACTATGTTCTTGCTGGCATTTTATTGCAGTTTCTTCTGTTGCAGGCAAATTCCACAAGTACATGTTGAAATTGCATTTAAGAACAAAAAATATCATGATTTATCTATAAAAATTGTTGGAACTTGAATACAACAAAAGAATGGATGCAAAATGTCGGTGTTATTTATTAAAACTGAAAAAATGTTATGGAAATGATTGCCAGAATTTGGTGAATTCTGAACACTTGGTGACTTCTTGTAGGTGGTTGTGCTAATACATAAGTACCTTGAAAAGCCGACAATGTATAAGTAGCAGATGTACATAAAGGATGCTTCATAGTTTTATCAGTGACCTGTGATTAGCTGTCACATTTGTGGCATTTATTGCCAGTAGATGTAGGGAACCCAAAACTAAGGAATAGGAATTCTGAAATTATTTTTTCATTTTTCTAATAAATCCCCTCTAACCTTCCTGGATTCAAAATTATTTTTAATTTACTATCAAGTGAAAAGTATGCTGTTGCTTTCTTCCAAGGAAAAAGTGTTTGATTCCACCTGATTTGATAAAAATAGACAAGAATTAAGTTATAATTTATTATGAGTAAGTGTTGATTAATAATTGGATAACAGTGTAGTTGCAAGTATATACAATTCAATTGCAATGTAATTGCAATTAAAAGTAAAGCAAATTATAATTGTCATGTAAAATTGTACAATGTAAATGTAATTGCAGTTTTGCAATTAATTTATTTACATTGTAATCGCATAATTTATAATTACAACTACAATGTAATAACCATATTAACTTGTGTATTTTCCCCTTTAGCACTTTAGCAGAAGGTTTTGAAAATTTTTCAAATATTCTTATAATTTGCAACTTCTTCAGTTGAGAGATGTTTGCAAAATTAGCTTCTATAAAAGTGAGAATTTGTCTGTCAGTGTGTTGCATAATGTAGAGTGGGGAGGAGTAGAATTATAAAATTCAACAAAAATTGTGTAAACTTCAATTTAGATTTTTTGTTTGTGTGATTTTTTATAAATGTTTCAAAATAAACATTGAAGAATTTCAGTCTTTTTAGAGGTAGATTGAAAAATAATGTGGAACTTGTAGGTTATCTATGAGAATCGATAAAACTTGAACAACCTGAGGATGTTTTAGCAATAAAATCTGGTGTTTGGCAGTTGCATTTGAAATGGCATCAGATTGTTATTTGTTGCAGCTTGCCTCTGGTTTGATGTCGTTTATGATAAACAAGAAGAGTGATAAGCTGAACCACATTGCTGCTTACATTGTTGCACATTTACTGATCTCATTGCATGTTCCATTATTGCCAGATGCCAGTTTTGGGAATATTTAAAAATGGAATTTTTAGCAAAAGAGAGAGAGAAAAAACATTTAACAAAAGAAGGAAAGTGATTTAAAAAAACTTTGCTTTTTTGGAAAATCTTGAATAGTTAAAGTTTTATTTGGCCTGTGTCAGCATTTAACCTGTCGTCAACAAGTATCAGTATTATTAAGTGTAGTTATAATTCTAAGTAAGTTAAGTATAGTTTTTCTTAATATGTTTCATAATTTTACCAATTTTAGTAATTAATTTTGTTTTCTGATCAACATCCTTGATATTTTTTAATTCCAGCATTGGCAGGTTTGTAGCTTATGTCTCGAAACTTTTAGATTGTAAACTGGTTTTTATTCCTTTTCAGAAGCAAGAATAGTAAAATATGAAAGAGTTCATTTTGTAGTTTTCATGAATATGTCCTCTTTCCCCCCCCCCCCCCCCCATATATTGAGGTGCTGTGGAGAGTTAAGCTTTGAGTAAAAATAATATGTCATCTGCTTAGTTGCTGTATGACTCGGGGGGGGGGATTTCTCTTCATTTAAATTCAGTGTTTTTTCTTCATATTTGTTCCCATTCAACTGTGGGACTTGCCTAACATTTTATACAGCTTCTGGAAGCAGTTTTCTTCATATAAATAATGAATGTAATGCTAGTTAAATATAAAATGTTTATCTTACTCCCATTTATATTATGTACTTCAATATTTATATTAATGTAATTGACATTTGATTTCTATACAATATGCAGATTTAAAATTATTTCATAAAAATTTTGGTATTAATTTTTTTCCCCCCTTAAGTCAAACGGGAAAATGGGATCCTGAACGCTGGTTTATGAATCATCGAAGTGATCGTATTGGTTCACTTGATGAAACACGTTCAAAACGGGATAGACAAGAGGATGGCATGCTGAGTCACAAAAGAAAATCATCTGATCCCAAAGAACGCATTAAAGAAGAAAAAGATGATATTGTTCTCAGCCCACAGCGACGAAGTTTTGGAACTGGTTGCCATGTTATTCAACAGCCTTCTTTGGCTAGAAGACCTGGTAGTCCCAGCGATGGAAGAGAATCGGAAAAGTAAAGATATTACTGTTTAATTATTAAAAATGACCTTTTTTTTATCTGGCAGAAAGTGAAATTTGTCATTTATCGTGTAGTTTCTTAAATTATTTTCTTATAGATTTATTTCAAAATTCTTTTCTAATCTTTCTTGGTATATGTACCATATGAGAGAAGTTCTAGAATTTTATGTTGTTTTAAAGTTACATAATCAGTAAATTATATGCAGTGTACTATCTAAAAATTCTCCATTCCAGAATCAGCTGTCAGGAAAATTTTCAGACTAGCCATCATCTATTTTAGGCTACAGATTTTGCAGAAACTGAAACTATGAGTAGCATAAAACATTAATTTCTGTTGCCTGTTTTGAGGCAGATTTAGTTGTAAGTGATGAGAAATTTCATATGTCAAGATCTGAATCATCACAATATGAGGAATTTTGACTAATTTCCAATTTGTAATAAATCTTTAAGTTGGTTTCTCTGTTCATATTTGTTTTGTAAGTAACACTGCAAGTGAGTGGTGATGCTATATTTTTATTTTATTTATTTATTTATTTATTATTTTATCACATTTTAAAATTGCTAGAGGATCTGGATTTGACAAAATTTCTTTAATATATTGTATATTAAGTTCTAGGAATTTTTACATTAAACATTCTAAACTTCTGAAATTTTGAGTTAAATTATTTCAGAAAATACTTTAACATCTTCCATTAGGGAAGGAGCAGAAATAACAGTTCTATTACGTTTTGAATTTGTTTTAGCCAGTTGACATGTCTGTATTCAACCTGAGTACCGTTAAGATTCAGATAAGCAGCTAATAGTTATCAGTAAAAATTTAATTCATCAGATTTCTTATAATAAAAATTTATAATATTACATACAATTATGTCCTACATATTTATTAGAGGAATAAATTTATTTTACATATATTATTATTGATGTCATATTAGGCAAACGGGTACTGAACTTGCTGTACATATCCTAATTTTGTATGTTCAATACTATATAGTTTGTGCTGTATATTAATGGGAGAAAAGGCAACATTACCAATGCAGAACTTGTAAAGTGTTTTCATTTATTTTTTAAATCAATGTAGTAAAAACTTAACTGAGTATGAAAAACATTGTGAAATTTGGCAATAAATGTTAATTAAAATTTTAATGAATATATCTTTTAAATTTACGATATGCATCTTATTTCAGAACTCTTTTGCACTACAGTATTGCAATATTTAGATTGTAGCTTGCATGTTTATGAATATTGAGTTTGTTTTGCAGCTATAAGAATATCTAAACTTCTCATGCACTGCAAAATGTTTTTCGGGTTGTAACTTTTAAATGTTGTTTAAGTAGGAAACCTCATTTAATATTATACCTGTGTGATCTTTTAGAGACCCTTAATTTTTTTTAATTATTAAAACATGTGTACTCGACTATGTAATATTACAAATGTTATTACAATTTATGTGGTAACCATGGGAAAGAATGTTAGGAATTTACTATGATTAGTGATTGGATTTGTACTCGTTATGTTTAAAACAAAATTTAATTTCTTTTAATTTTTTCTTCTATTTATTACTTTATTTTCAGTTTTCGAGATTCTTCAAGGAGAATTGGAAGTGGGCGTATCATGGCTAGAGATCGAGAACAGAGAGATTGGGATCGTGATCGTGAATATGGATATGGCTCTGGCAGAAATGAACGTAGAGATCGTTTTGATCAAGAAGATAACGAGAAAGACTTGAGGCGATATTCGAGCCGTTATAACCGGGGAGACAGACGTTCAAGAGGTTAGTTAAAATATGTAGCTGATATTTACTTTGAGTATTAATTAAGGCAACATTTTTGGCTTGAGTATTTTTTATGATTCCTGTACTTTCTTTAGGTCGAGATCGAATTGATGAGGTTGAACCTGAATGGTTCAGTAGTGGTCCCACTAGTCAGTCAGAAACTATAGAACTTGTTGGGTTTGAAGATAATCAAAATGAGGATGAAAATCGTAAGCCATCAAAAAAGGCAAGTAAAAGAGCTAAGCAGAATTCTCGTCGCTCAAAGTTTAAAATCTGATGAAGGTGAAAGGAATGAAAATGTGATATCTGAAGATAATTCCAAGAAAAAAGGTGACTCCTTTTTTATGTAAAATATATGCTTCAATGGGAAAAAATTCTGTTCTAACTTCGGTTTTTTCTCTTATGTTATTATTTTTCCATCTCTTAATTTTTAATTTTCAATCTCTTAAAATTACAGAATGATAGTAAGTGCTAAAAGCTGAGCCAAATAACATGTTTAGTCTAGTTAAAAAATAAAAATTATGCTTTTTTATTAGAAAGATAAATGTCTTAAAGTATTTTAAAATATTCTGTGTTAAGTATATCTGTTCAGAATTTTTGCATACAAGTTTTCAAATCTTATTTTTAAGCAAATTAAATCCAAATCTGTTAATTTTAATTGTTGACTGAAAAAAGTGTTAAATATTAATATATGTTTTCTTGATGAATAAATGAATTCATCTATTTTTTAGCTACTTTTTCACAAGAAGACCCGAAACCAACAACTGAAAATAAACCCAATGATGAAGTTAAGGATAAATCCAACAATGCTGGATTTGATTTAGATGAACTATTCCGCATGGATTGGATACCTGGACTTCTTCAGGTTTTAGACTACTACTTTTAAATTCTTTAATATATTGTATAACTTAATTTTAATAGATTTCCAAAAACAACTTTTAATACGTTATTTTTCCCTTGTAAATTATTTATTCATTATTTTTTTTTAGTCTTAGGATTTTTTTGTCACATTTAAGAAATTAGCTTCTCCTCAAAAGTTTATTTTAATTAAGGAATTTACTACACTAATATTGATCATCTTAAAATTTTTGTATTCGTAATGAAGCTTAAAATTTTCTTAAAGAGGTAATATTAATTGTTTATGAGAGAAATGTGTATGTTTTTACTAATAATTTCTATGTTTGAAAATGTCTGTTTATGATGCATAGTCCATGCTTTAAATTTATCAGTAATTATCTTAGAAAATGTCAAAAATTTCTCTTCAAGGTTTCAGAGTGTGTTAAGAAAGTACTGTTTATGTTTCATGTCCATAAAAGTTGTTTTACTGCCTTTATTTTCACAACTACTTACCATAAACATGGACTTCTATTTGAAAAAGTATTTTAAATAAGACATGCTTTTATGTTTTGTTATAAAAAATATAAAAGTGAAATTTTTGGAATTACAAAAAATAACTTTTTGTGCAGTTTCATAATCTGTAGAGCTGTATTTTGATTTGAAATAATAGAACTGAATTTGGCTTCCATATGACAAAAACTGCTTGAGATATTTAAAAATTTAAGAATGTTTCTGAAAGTTTTAATCTCCCCATGCACCGCAGATACACAGCACGGGGCTTATGCAAGTAATTTAAGTAAAACATTAAAAGTTGCATGCATAAATAAAACGAACAAACACAAAGAACAGCTGTCTGGACTTCACGAAAACAATTAAGCTTACTGGCCAAGTCACTGTGAACATTTTCAAATTGTTCTGCAAGCATAATCTAAGGCCATCAAATGTAGGTCTTGAGAAAATCAAATGTTCCAAATTTTGAGGTACTCGTTTTGAATATTCACATAAATTGTTTGATCTTGGATTGAAACGAAACAGGTAACTTGCAAATTTACCATGACCAGGTAGAAACTGAGAAACTTTAAAATTAATAGAGAACAAAGACTCTTAAGTGCAGTCTATGGTAAATAGAAGGAAAGAACGTTTTGGTGACCTTAACATTAAAAGATGAAATATATTCCTCATTCCACTTAGCTAAAAGCTTCTTATAATGGAAGGACTTCCAATAGTTCTTTGAAATGCTAATTTTGATATCAATTTGTATAAGGCATCTTTAGCTAAGAAATCGGCTATTTCATTTCCATAGAAACCATGATGAGCATGCACATAAGCAATGCGGATAACAGTTCCCCTATTTATAATCAAACTGACTAATTTGTCGTTGTTAGTAATACTGTTGCTCAAAAGGTGAAGAGAAGAAAGAGAATCAGAACAAATAAGGTACCTGGAGGATGCTGTCCCATTATCCTTGATCCATTTGACGGCAAGAGAGCACAGAAGTTTTGCTTGAAAAACTGTGCATTCATTCTGTATGCGGTGTTTAAAATAACAAACCTCAGAATGGCCTTCAAAAAGAAAAAATGCAAGGCCAACCTTGTTTATCTTGCCATCATCTGTAAAGAAAACTGTATGAAAACTCTTTTCAGTAGTCTCTTTACTATCGCAGAAATTTATGGGCTTTGAAGTAGCTGGATGAGGAAGATCAGGAAGGAGACATTTCTAAGTATCAGTTGCCACTGCCTCAAAAATATTATTCTTATATTCAATTTTGAAATTTATAGGCAGAACCCTGCAATAACAAAAGCAGTTTCATAGCTTAAGGTTTTAAAACCACTAATTATACGAGAAGAATGCTTTGAATCTTTCTCAAATTTCTTATGTTAACCTTCTTTGCAAGAACATGTCTCCAAGCACTACAGCTGTACGAAATGAAAGGTACAGTATACTGCTTATGCATCAGTTTCTTAACATCGTAAGCTTGCTCCAAAAGTATTTTTGGTGATTTAGTGAAAGCCATTAATAATTTTTTCACATTTGATAGAAAGGAATACATTATGCTTTTCCCATGTTAAATTTTGGTCAAGAATATGACACCAGAGTTCTTAAAATTTTCTACAAATTCCAGCGGAGAACCATAGAGTATCAAAGGAGCAGCCAAAAAAAAAAAAAAAAAAAAAAAAAAAGAAAAAAAAAGAAAGAAAGATACTAAAATTAAATGTTGAGCATTCATATGCAGGTTTTCATTAATACAAATTTTTTCGAAAAGATTGTATTGTGTGTTTGCTAGATTATGGTCTAAAGTAATAATACTGCATATGAATATTATTAACTTGAGCATTTCAAAACTTATAAATTACTTTGGTACTTATATATTATCCTCTTGACTATGAAAGTTGACTACCATCAAAATCATAAAAGTTGGTAAAGAACCCATCAAAGCTGCACAAGTCATTCCTGTGGAATTCTGAAGGAACTGATGTCTTTTTATTTAGTAAACAATCAATATTCAACCCGCTTTGACGCTTTGTAAAAAGGTTTTCATCAGTTTCAAATATTTTGTTAGGCCCTCCAATTTTACCATAAGCTCTGGTTAGAAAATACTGTGCTTATAAATTTTGCCCAAGTAATTGTTCCAGTCTATTACTGTTTCATTGACAATATAGCTGACCACAATGTGCCCATTAATATCCCCTTTTTTTATGGCAAGATTCAATAACTTTGAAATTAATTCTTTGTCTGCTGTCCTGTAAAAGGTAGTCTCAAATTTTAAACTCCCCCCTAAAAAAGTGCTCGAAAAAAATATAGAGCAATATGTTCTTGTTCATAATAATGAAACATGGCTTATCAAGAATCAATTAAGTTACAGTAAATGGAAGTGCAGATGTTATGAATGTGTTTGTGCCCATACCTGGCACTAAATCATAGTGCTTGGTGATGATTTTGCAGTCAGTGGCATAATATGTAAATACCATTATTATTTGTGTGTTGGCATATCGAATGTAACAGTTGTGTTGTAAGATAAAGAAAGTTGCTAATGAATTCCAAAAAATATCAGTATGAATGACATTGAATGAAGGAAGTTGACTTCAAACTGTCTTGATTTATTTCTCATTGACTCCTGATGGAGAGCAGTAAGTTTGGCTTTCTGGCACTGAAAAATCTAAAAAATCCCAAATTTAAAATTGAATATCTTTGTTACTTTTTGTTGTAGAATTATTTTAATTTATATTTGAAATGTTCAGATAATGGGGGGGGAAAGACAGAAATGCCAAATTTTAAAATTAACTATCTTGATCAATTTTTGTTGTCAGACTTGTTTTATTTTTTAAACTGTTTATTAAATATAACTAAAAAGTCGTATAGAATGTTGATTTCCTGATTTTTACAATTTTTTGTAATAGACATTCATATTATGATCTTTTTTATCATTGAAAACAATTTTTATAATTGAAAGTATATATCAGCAACCAGTTGTAGGAAAATAAAGGTTGCCTAAGCATTGTTCATGATGTATAGTGCCAGTTTGAATGTGAGACTTTCTGTAAGTAAGGGACTGAAATTATACTGTTGATATTTCTTATTTCTGGTAAATTTCTTTTGTGGTTCCCCGAGAAAATATTTCTTGGGCATTGCAAGAGACCTAAGAATATTTATTTTATATGCAAATAAAATTAAACAGTAGACAAAATTAAAATGCTAAAACAGTAGACAAAATTAAAATGTCGGGGAACAGTGCTCATATAACAGAGCATAAAAATATCTGAATGATGTTTAATCTGATTTACTTCAGAATTTGATTGTACAGTGTGATCCAAAAATTATGTACGAGTTGTACATTAAACAGTGCTTCATGTTACTTTTTTTTTTGTGTGTGTTTGCTTGCTTGAAATGATTAGACCTGGAAGTTACTAAAGGTTGAGAATTCCTAATCTAAATAATTAAATCACATTTCACTAATTTTCAAGTTAATAAACAGTAATATTTTTTAAAATTTTATGTGAAAAACTTTAAAAAGTAAAAATGATTTATATTAAATTTTAAAGTAGGTTAAAAAATGCAACTTTGTATTCGGTGAAAAGGATCTTTTTATATAGGGTTAACTCATAACTATCATTGACTCTCCTTCAGGAAATCATGAACTTACCAAATCATTACATGTAAATGCTAAAAACTATGAACTGTCTTTTGAATACAAGCAGCTTTAGGTTGAAAACACTGTTATAAAATTTTACTAGTTAAGCAATTACATTTTTAACACAAACAAAATTTTCTTACTTTTTTTTAATTGTGCACTCGACATTTAAACTTTACTCAAAATGTAATAAGTTGTTTTTGAATGTTATTTATGAGAGAAAATATTAGTATGCATATGCATTTATGATTTAATATTGTAATCTGCTTTTTTTCAGAATGAATCTCCACCTGATAATGGAAATAGCGAAATGGGATGTAGCCGTTTTAGCCAATGGTTTCGTAGAGATAGTCCTTTACCCAATGTACCAGAATCTGGAAATAACAGTCGGCGATCATCACTGCATGATGAACTTATTGCAAATGTTTTAAATAGTAAGTTTTTTTAATATAATTTATTTTTTAACCTTGTATATACAAGGGGGTATCCAAAAGATACCGAACTGACTTTTTTAGACTGCAGAGCCTTTGCAGTGCCACGTTTTGCTGCATAGAACGAACATGCCCGAACCAGTAAGTTGAGTGCTATCGCTGAAGAATTTCAGGACTAGTTTTGGTGGAGTTTACAGTGACAACTGTTTTGTTTGATCATTATTTTTGAAATAGCTACTTTTCACGAACAACATGCAACAGTAAAATTCTGCTTTTTGCTCAGAAAAAGTGGAACAGAAACTCGTGAAAAGTTAAAAATGGCATACAAGGATGATGCTATAAAGGAAATTCAAGTGTTTGAGTAATATTCCTCGTTTCAAAAATGAATAAAATATCAGTTGATGACAAGCCTCATTCTGGTCATCTTCCACAGCTTGAACACCCAAAATGTTGAAAAAATTCGTGCAGTCAACAATGAATATTGACGATGGACCATTGAAAGAAATTGTGGAATAGTAGGCAGTGACTTGGGAGTTCAGCACAGCAAATTTTGACATTCGATTTGAGAATGAAAAGGGTGGCTGCCAAATTAACAACTGCTGAACAAAAACAAGGTCGCATGGAGGCATGCTATGCTTTGAAAGAAGAGTCCCAAAATGGTCCAAACATTTTTAAAAAATTATCACAGGTGACAGAGCTTTGTGCTGTGCTTACGATCCTCACCCCAAGAAAAAGCTCATCTGGTGAAATGAAACACTACTTTGTAAAACAATGCTGATTTGTTTTTTCAGTGAGAGAAGAGTTGTCTATTTAGAGTTTGTTCCACAGGGTTAGACATTTAACGAATTTTTCTACATGGACATTTTGAAAAGATTGCTCAACAGTGTATGGTGGAAGCGGCCCAATTTTTGTCAGTCAGGTAACTGGGTTTTCCATCATAACAATACCCCTGTTCACACAGCCCTGCCTGTACGACAGTTCTTGATCAAAAATGGTATGACCCCCTTTTCCACACCCTTGTGACCTTGCTCCGGCAACTTTATTTTTTGTTTTGTAAAATGAAGAGAGACATGAAAGGAAATCATTGTGCTGATGTTGCTTGTGAAGGAAGAAAATAAAAAAAAAAACTACTACAGCTGTCAAATATTAAGAAAGATGAATTTAAGCAATGTTTTGAAAAATTGAATAAAAGATTAGACAGGTGTATTAGTGCAAGTTTAATGTACTTTGAAGGGGGTTGAAGGTTTACTTAAAATGTGAATAAATATGTTTAAAGAAAAATAAGTTCAGTTTCTTTTGGGTACCCCCTCGTATATTAATTAGATATGGTAAATAGCATTCTGCCCATCGAATCATCCACTAAAAATCGAGCTTATTAATAATGCAAAGTAATATATACATTTTTAGTTTTTATTGCAAAAACAACTTGTCTGATGTACTGTAAAATTTGATACCTTTGTCACCTATGTTTGTAGCTGGTCTTGTTGGCAGATAGAAACATAAATATGTTTAAGTACAGTCATTAATTCGAATACTCAATATAATTTAAAATCACATTATTTAGTGGATAGCTGTAACGTTTATTTGAACTGCGAACTTTTATACCAATTTCTTGCATTTAATGATGTTTTAATTGATAAGAGCATTTTTGTGGAACATTTTTTTCAGATTTTTCTACAAGATATTGGAATAAATTAACAGTATTTTATTTAGGAGAATTAAAAGATAATGTTTGGAACTTTTCAGGGCTTTTGTCTAATCTTTCACACTTTCCAAAATGCTCTAAAACTGCTCTTCTAATTGGCAAGTTAATTCCTTTCTGCATAATTTTATAGAAATAGAAGGGGTGAAATATTTTTTCATTTGAGCTGTCTGGCAACATGCATTTCTTATTTTCGGGTCATAATTATATACATTGCCTTTAGAAAAAAAGTTTATCTATGAGTAATAGATTTACGCATTTTTGAGTGAATGGTTATATCGAAAATGACAGAATTTCATAGTGGCAGACATATAAAAAATGTATCAAAAGAACATTTCTAGTTTGGAATGGATGGAAAAAAATCATGAACTTTCATTCTGCTATGTAAAGACTGTTAGTTAGGTTAGTTGTTGGGGGTGGGGTAGTTTGGTTCAGATATGGAAAATTATGTAGAAAAAGGGTTAACCTTCATTTCACATGAAGAAATGCCTTAGGATGTGTATTGTTATATTATTTTCCTTCCTTTACTTCACAATTCATAAGTATGGTATGGGATTTGTGCAGATTTGGAGTGAATAATGACATCAGCACTCAATGAAACACACTTTATTGACCAATATTAATCAGGTTAATCAGGACAGCTCCAAAATCACGTTTACGCAGTTGTCAAAGATCTATAAAACACTGAAACTCGGCGACACAGCCTTCAGGTTATCAGGCTATCGCGGTGAAGGCAGCTTCACTGCAAAGCGCCAGAGTACAACTCCCGACTCTGCTTGATCGTTCTCGGAACTTCACGTACTCTCGAGACTGCACACTATCATGGTGCACTCGATGACACACAGAGCACAGCTCCTGACTCTTCGTTTCAGTCATTCCTGTAGCTCAACACGCTCTCTCGATGATGCACTAACCACAATACACTAAGAGACTCTTTTGATGCACTTGACGACCCACTCGGCACTCGCTCTCCGGCTGTCAACTTGATTGACTGTTCACAGACTGACTGACTCACTAGATGAGACACATTAACTCGCACTGACTCTCTGCATACCAGCAGGGTTTATATAGCTTTTGGCTTTTGTTCGAGAGCATTCTGAGCTAAACTGGTAAGAGTTCGTTCCAGAAGGTTCTCCATCCCTCCATGGCATATCTGCAATTTTTTCGCCAAATGTGGCAACCCTAAACCTTCTGCACCTCGACATTTCGTAACATTATGTATTAACATAAAGTGAGACAGAAACTGTCCTGATCTCAAGATGTCAAATGTTACTTGAAAAAGTTGATAATGTAACATCCATGGTTAACTCAAAAAATTATTCCTTTCCATTTGAGTATAACTAAACATAATTTACACTACTAGAGAATAGTGATATAAAAAAAAGGGGGGGTATTTGACAGCAATGAAGCTGGCATATGTTAGAGTTTGCAAAAGCAAGCAGTATTATTAGTGTGCTGTGTACATTCAAATAAAACTTTGGTGGTAATCCATTTTAAAGCCACATAAAGTATTTAATGAGGAAGGCTGCATTTGTGATGAAACAGAAGAGCATTCTTGTTGATCTTTCATCCCATAGGAAGTTGAAACAAAGTGACTTGACCATTTGTGACTTTTTTTCTTTGGGGGCTTATGAAGTCCTATTTGCTACTCTAGATGATATTTAAAAACACATCAAGCTGCTTTTTGATGTCTTAAGTCTTCAAATCAAGTATGTGGTTTGAGCTGAATTTTCGCATCAGTATTTTCCATGTAACAGGTGGCAATTGGTTGGGTACTCCTTTTAGCATTAAGTGATGCCCTTTCAAAACCAAGAACTGCTTTTATATTCACTCTGTATTATGTTTTCTGATACAAAATAGGAATTTTTAGGAATTGTTTGACAACTTGCCTCCATCATTGTATTTTGAGTTTTAGTTTAAACTCAAATTTATTATGTGCTTTGTTAATTTTAAACTTTCTGTTAAAAATAATTTCACTGTAATTAGCCAACTTCTTAGTCAATTTGAACTTTTTATTCATATACTTTTTTGGGGAAGGAGTAAAAATTGGTGGCGTATTGCCATATGGTAGCGACTTCAGATTTGGCTAATCTGTATTCCCAGCAAATACCAATTTGTCTATGTCCATTATATATATATATATTAATAATACTCACTTTATCTTCAATTCAGAATGTTGTACATTTAATGCTCAGCATATGGATGAATATTTAGTACAGGAAATTTCTCTAGTATAGAATGAAGAGAGTTAGGTTAAAGAATATGCCTTTCTGGAAAACACAAAAACATAATTTTATCACTTATCTGTCATATACAATAAGAATGTATTCATTTTTCCATTAAGGTATACAGTTTGGATTGCAAAGCAAAGGGGCAGTGCCATTGTAAATGGCATCCTTGGGGGAAAAAATGGAAAAAAATCCCCCTTTCAGAGGGCAAAACATGGATAGTGTTTTAAATACTGAACAAAAACAAACCAATAAAGACAAAAAATGTTCATTCCCTCAAACCACCTGTGTAACCCCAAGCTCTTAAAATCTATTCATTACTTTTTTCCCAATAACAAGAAATTTCAAAATTTCTGTTGTAGCCCCAGCCTTGAAAAGAATCAAGTTCTTTGGGTCAAAAATCAGTGTTTCGCTGACTGAGATCATAACACAGTATGATCTCTTAAAATATTCTGTATTGTATATCCTGGGCGTCCAAGTATTGAGTGCTACACCTGTTGTACATAGTCTGTGTTTAGAACATAATTTCTCAACAGTATTATTATCAATCCCTTGATGAAATTTTAAGTGGTATATGGTAATCAAGGGGTCAGTTGCAAGGGCTGATAGCTGAGCATGCATTGGCTATTGATTAGCTTTATTAAGATCCCATTGATTACAAAATATGTATTAATAAAATTGATAATTAATTGTTTATTGATATAAAGCCTTATACAAATAGTCAAGTCTTAGCCAAAACGCATGGCTATGTTAAGTTTTGGAATTAAAAATCTTCCAAGAGACTGGTAAAATTAAAAATGTTATCAAATCAACATTATTTTGTTAACTTTTCCTACTTCTTACATAATGGAAGCCATAATTCAGTCAAGTCAGTGACTTGCTTCATAAAACAAGACGCAGGTTGAAAATTTCTGAATTGAGCAATTTAAAAATTAAGCTAAGCAATTTTATGTTTGAAAGTGATATTGTGTCTGAAAACTTGTTTATATTTGTAAAATAAAATAATAGAACATTCATCTGTTTTAAATAAACTGTTTTAAAAAAATTGTTCGTATTCACTTTAATTGTTATCTTTAAGTTATATTATGTGCAGTTATTTGTATTATTATTATTATTTATATGGTAGAGAAAAAGGTAAGAGGATTAACGAAGAAAACCATTCTTTTAAAAGGAGTCTATGCAAGAAAAGGGTTGGGAATCCGTAGTTTAGAACACAGAGAAAAATAGGGGTCAAGTATAAATAAGATTAATGTAAAAAATTTTTTGTTATCTAAATATCCTAAGTTTTTTGTAACTTTTCTATTGAAATTGCCTAAATTCTGTTAAAAATTATGAAAAATATTTAAAAAATGCAGAAGATATGTACAAAGTATGTTTTATCCAATTTTTATACGTTTGGATGTTCGCTGTAGATGCATTTTATATATTTGGAAGTTCACTGGACAGGATCAGAAGATGTAATTGTTATGTTTTCAGGTTTGTGATAAATCAGGATCACTGTAGTGAGGCCTAACACACATATAATATCCATATCACAATGGACTCCTGCAGTTTTGCATATCATAGGTTGGAGCAGTATGATATTAGGAAGATGCCATAATGTTTTGGCTGTTCTCAATGTGCATAGGCAAAAAGTCTTAACAAACTGCTTGCTTTTTCCCCCCTTTAGAGTAATTTCTTTTGCTTTTATTTTTATTCTGCTATATATATTTATGTTAAAACTTCAAAATACATTTATTATTAATTTTAAATTAAATTTTTAAGGTGTTGAACCTCAGCTTATAATACCCTCACCAACCCCAAATTCTTCAGATAACTTCTTTGCACCAATTAGTCCTGCAATATCTCATTCTTCAAATTATTCTGCATCTCAGTCTTTAGCATCAAATCATTCCACAAGCAAAGATATCATGGAAATGTTACAATCTGCCAATTCAAATGAATCAGCTCGTAATGGAGGAAATTTGAAAGGTAAAACTTTTTTTTTTTTTTTTAACTTTACTTGTGTACTGATCTTAGAATGCAAAATTTTATTTAAAGAAAAATCTGATTGTATGTCTTTTTTAAAAAGTTAGGTATTATGTACTTATCTGTGTTTCAGGCATGTTTTTTATTTACTTTTAATTCTTCTCTTTGCCATATAGCAATAGTATATTGAGTTTTCCAGGTAGTTAATATGTAAAATTATTAAGGAGACACAATGCCAAGAAAATTATCAAACTGTCAATTTTCTAAAGAACTAAATGATTTTTCTTATTGGTAATTTTTTGTTGCCATTCCTGTTTAAAAAAATGATGTTAAGGCCTTTTTAATTAAAATGGAGGTTTCATCCCCTCTTCCGTTTATCCCAAAAGAACTGGCTGTTGGTCTTGAAACTCTATTTGTTTCACTTTTCTTTCAAATCTCTTGCCATTCAGCAAAATGTAAGATATTTAATCTGTCTGTTATTGATGAACAAACTAAGCTATTTAAAAGCAGTATATGCGGTTCTTAAGATTTTTTACTTTCTAATTCAGGTAAATAAAAAAGCATTTAATTCATGAGCTAATTAAAAAAGATTAAATATTTTTGCAGAATAGATGTTACATATTTATTCCCTTTTCAAATACACAGAAGATATAATGTTCCCATGATAATCTAAATGTATATTCATCTAGTATCCTATAAAATGTTTTGATATTTCACCTGGGACATCTGTCAATAATCTCTATTAAACTTTAAAAGAAAACTTTCAGATTTATTATTGTGCATGCTTATTATTATGCTTTTGATAACTGGTCGTAGAGGTATCATTTGTAGCTATTTTAAAAAATCTGAACTACGAACTATTTAGATTTTTTCACTGTATATAATAGCAAGTAATTAAGAACTAATTATTAATAAATAAGTAATTACTAATCTTGTAATTAATAACCTAAGAGAATAATTTAAAAAATGGCTACAACCGTGCAATTATATATTTTTTTTGCAAAAATTATTTTATAATTATATCCTTAATAAAGTTTTAAACTTTTACAAAGAACAGATGAATATGTGTTTATTTCACAGCATATATGATTGGTTTTCCATCATATTGTCATGTTTATAAAACTTAGTAGCTGTTCTGATTATTGCCTTTCAATTCAAGAGTTTCAATTCAGAGCTTTTTTTCTTTCATTATCCCTTTTTTGTAGAATTTGAAAAGCCTTTTTTTTTTTTTTTTTAAATTTAATATTGGCTGGCATGTTATTTTCCATACCACTTTTACTTTCAGCTTAATGTCGTTCTTTTAACATTTCTATAATATATGTTAGTTTTTTTCACACATTTTCTGAACAGTATCATCGAATGCAACATATTCCTAATATGCATTTTTAATTTACCTTCATTGATATCCATAATGTTGACTATAGCTTACAATTCCATTGTAGATTTCATTAAATAAAAAGCTACAATATTAAATTTTTAAATATTTTGATTAACTGCTCCCTCAAGTATCGACATGATTTGCATAACTTCAAGCTTATGTACTTCAAATTCATTTGCATATGATTCAATTCTGTTTAGCACTTAATCTCTTAACTTATATCAGTTATGTTATTTGAATTACAGTTAATGTTATTTGAAGGTTTTTGTTATATCTTGCCCTAAAGACTAAATGGCAAAAAGGGTGTTTGTAGGAAGAAAGAGTAATTTCATGTTTTTCAGAAAGACAGAGAATTATCTAGCATAATTGAACTTGGTTTTAGAATAATTTCAATAAAGAATTTAAAAAAAAAAAAAAAAGTTTCAGAGTAAAAAAATTCTTGCAGTAGCTTATTTTAAATGTGAAATATTATCTGCTACTTTTAAATTTATTCATTTTTTAAATTTTTAAATTTCACATGTAAACGAGCTGTGAATTGAAGGATATATTTTTGCACTTTCCAGAGAAATATTCCTGTTTCATAAGTAAAAAATTTTATGAAATGTATGGTATTAAAATTTCTTAAGTGCAAAATAGCAACATTATTAATTTATTAGAAAGGTGAAAACCATCGGTTGTTACTTCAACGTGGAAAGAAGATCCCAAATGAATACTTGAAAAAAGTATGTAATATTTCTAAAGTTGCTAACAAGAGAAAATCCACCAATATGGAAATCAGTTGCAAAGCATTTAAATGCATATGTAACAAAAATAAATAAAATAATGAAGATTTACATCTTAAGAAAGCTAAAAAAATATAATGTTCAACAACTTCTGCTGAGGCATGTGGCTCAATTCAGAACAACCTTTAGAACTTTGCATGAAGATTATTTACCAGGAGATATATAGAAATGCATTGTGACCCTTGATAAAGCATGGATTTACCTAAATGACTGGAACAAAAAAAGGTCTTTATTAACAAAAAGAAAGAGAGAAAAGTGTACAAACTTGGTTACTTCAATGCAAAGAAAGTTTCAGTAAGGGGTTTATGATTGGCACAGAATTCTTTTACAATGGAAAATTAGAAATAAGAAGAGTGAAAAAAGTCAACTCAGCATACTGTTGAGAAAATTTTACATCCAGTTTTTAAAAAGAATTTCCCTTTCTTTATCCAGTAACTTTTAAAAAAGTGAAACTTCAATAAGGCAAAGCAAAAAGTCATATTTCGAAATGTTCCACTGCATTTCCTAGTGAAATGAAGTTGTATTGCATATATACTTTTCCAGCGTATTCCTGCAAAGTTCCTCGACATTTCAACTAAGGGCAATTGGACTCTGCTTTCTTAAGAATTCTTTTTAAGCGCAAACCCAGTGCCATGGATGGACTCTGGAAAATAGTGGAAGACAAATAAAAATCAATTCAATAATACCCTTGCAAATTTTATGAAAAACCCTTCTGTCATGGAAATCACACAGAGAATAAAATACACACACACGTATATATATATATATATGTCATAATAAAAGCAAAGGAAATAACGGAGCAGTGTAAATGCGTGATTAGATCCATATTTGAAGAAGAATTGATTGGCGTAGTATTAAAGAACTTTGGCAGTCGAGCAGTTTTTTTAATTCCATTTTTTATTTCCAATTGATATTTGTGGCCACAATCACTTGGCATTCTAGTCGTGCCTTTCCACAGAAGATTTACATTTTTGATATTTTTTAGATAGAAAGCAAGCCAGAAGCGAAATTACATTTGCACAGTAGAGAGCAAAAAGCTGAAGTGCGTAGTTATGAAGATGGAAGCGCGAAGAGAAAAGTTTTGTTTACAATTCGGTTTTGGTCGTAAGAGGCATCTGGTATTAACGGTTACGTAAGAGCATGATTAATTTGAATGATGCAATGCAGATAAAGTTATTACAATTTTAGAATAGAGAGGAAATTAATGTTTATAGTTATAATTATAATTCTGATTCATACATTTTTTCTTACATATATATATATATATATAATATATATATATATTATGAAATAAATTGTATTTCATGAAACTTTTTATTGATTGATTTTTAGATTCTGTGAAAACTGTAAAAGAACTGGAAGCTGATTTAAAACGTATTGTTTTGGGGGACAAGAAGCAGCAAGAAGAAAGATCTGCTTTTGATAAACTGGTAATTATTTTGCTCTATTTTTTCTTTTCTATCGATTAATTTTTGGAATTCATGCATATAATTTATGTTGTATCAATATTTTTAGTTGCAGCATATGTCAGATTCTCAAAGCACACCTTCTGCATCTATGAGTATGGGGCCTCTTGATAAATCTAAAGCTTTGCAAGAACAGGATTTGTTGCAAGATATTTTAGGTGGCCCTCAAGCTTCATCTGTGTCACCTATGCTTCAGCCCTTTCAGATGTTCAAAGAGGAGAAGCAACAGGTTCCTCAGCTTACACCTGGTAAATCTGTATACCTGCTTTATTTGTTCATTTGGAAAATCATTTATTTGCTCACTATGAAAGAGGTAAAAATGTAAATAGCATGACTGTGATGTTTTAAGATACATACTGACCTTAAACTTTTTGTTTTTTAAAATGTACTGATCGAGTTATGACTTATTTGATTTGCATTAATAAAATATCGAAATTCAAAAACTTTGATAAAAATTGTTTCAAAGATTTATTTTAAATCATTGTTATTTTCTTCATGAAATTATTTATTGGCTAATTTAGAGTGAAAGTCCTAGCATTATTATTATTATTATTATTATTATTATTATTTTATTTCTGAATATGAGTTTCATGTCTCAAATATATAAGACATTTTGAGATTTTTTCCCTTTTGATTACCTAAAATATAAAAAGTGTAACAAACGATACAGTGCGATAAAATACCTCTTCCATTACTACAAAAGGCCTTTTTTTTTTAGTCTTGGAAATTAAAGTGTATAAAGGTGGTCAGGAATAAGGGTTTTATCAAATATAACATTTAAAACATAAAAAAATTACAAAAAATATTTCTGTAATTACAATGAAAATAATTTAAAAAAGGCATGCCAGCAGCCTCTGTGTTAATAATACTTTTGCTTATTTACCTATATTGTACTTACCTGCTAAACTTATACCAATTTCATTTAGGTATGTCACATTCTCAATTTCCCCAGTCTAATCAGCAAACCCAAAATGAAATGTTTGCACATATAATGCAGCAGAAACAACAAGAACAGCATATGCAACAGATTCATCAGCAGCAGTTGCAACAACAGCAAATGCAAAATCACATGCAACAGCAAAATCAACAGTCTCAAAATTTAAATGTTCAAGGATTTACGGTAGATATGCTGGCTAAAATTCTTGGCACTTCATCTCAAGCACCCATAAGTCCATCATCAGGACTTCATCAGTCTGCCTCTGCACCTGCATTGAATCGAAATGATCCCCAAATGTTAAACAGTAAGTTGGTTTTCATACTAAATTTCTGTAACTTTGATGTAAAATGGGAAATTTTTTTCTTCATACACATTTTGTGTATCCTTTGACAATATATTAAAAAATTATCCTGTTATATGGTGTCCATTTTGTCTGTTATATGGTGTCGATTGAACAGTATATCTCAGCTGGTCTGTGTTTAATTTTGCTGGTTTTATGCATTGCTATGAAATAACAATTATAAAATTAATTTATTTTTGAATATGATCATGAATATGTTCATATAAATTTATGGTTGGAACACTATATGAAATTTTATAAATATATTCAAGGTAGCCCTTTTGAACTTTTACTTTGTTGGCATTTTTAAGTTTATCTAAGTTTGTTGTATATATCTGAATTATGAAAGCACATTTTTATTTTTTCTGCGTCTTCCATAGATTATTTATATTTAAAGGTGAAACATCAGAATCTTCTAGTGGAACAAATCTTAAAAAAGAATTGTGAACTCAAACCTTTGTGAGTTGTAATTAAGTTTTTTTTTTTTGGGGGGGGGGAGTTGCCATTTAAATCTTAATCTAAAAAGAATTGTGCAACATTTTAACTTGAAGCTTTGTAAATTTGGCACTTGTCAGTTTTACCTACATCCAGTGATTACTTGCCAAGTTTGCCATTGTTTTTCACCAAATGATGTAACAAAACTAATTGTTAAGCATTATGAAATCATTAGAAGTTTTTTGGGAGGGAGTTTGAAGTAACTTTCAGTTTAGTGAAAGTGAAGATGTTGCTTTCTTCTAAGAAAGGGGTATTTTTACTCTATCTGTATTTGTGAAAATAGGCATGAAATGATGAAATTATGTATCGATCCAGAAGCCACATGGAGATGCAGTTTGAAAAACTGTCGGGGGGTAGGCAGCTGATTTGATGACTGTTTTTCACTGCTTAAAAATCATATTCCAAACAATTGTAAGATTTATGTCGCTGAAATGAAGATTTTCCCCCCTCATTATTTAAAAGCACTATCTTACAGCACATTGTTAGTATGTTTTGGCCACCGCAAAGTTTTATGTTGTCTTTTAGAAGCATTTGTTAAAAAAAAAAAAAAAAAAAAAAAAAAAAAGGATTTAATTTGTATAATTTTAGTGAACCTGGCTCATCAAGATCACTTTGTGACAGCTCTAAATGTCAAGCATTCTGTGTTTAACCTTTTTGCGATGGCGAACCTTCGTTTAAGACGCTCGTGCGGGATGGAAAGGAATTGAAAGCAGTCACCGTACAGGACGGAGGTTTTGCATTGCTAAGCCTAATTTTATATATATAAAGGGGGGGGGGAATTTCACTTCTAGCATCATACTTTTTGGTATCATTTTAGATTATTACTTGAACTCTTATATATGTTAAAATTAGCACTTAATAACGTTTTTTCTTTATTTTACATGAAAATATACCTAAAAAATTGCTTATCTTGTAAACTAATTTTCGGAAGCGCTATTCAAATTATTCCGAAGTTTTTAATTGATAAAATCTATCAGTAAAGTTTAAAATTAATAAAACAACACAATAAAGACTATTTACAGTAAAAAGTAACAAAATTTTAAATGAAGACTGAGTGCGGTAAATCTTGAAGCACGGAGAAGTATCACTTTCTAACTCTTTAGAAAATGAATCATCACTCTCATCTGCATTAGTAAATGGTTCACTAACCATATGAGGGTATTCTTCCTCTGATAAATAGTGCCTTCCCGCCATAATAGACTGGAAGTGAGGCTTTCCGAAATAATAAGAGAAGAAACGGAAATATATCTGAAGGCAATGCAAAACGTAACAGAAATCCACATAGTAACCCTAAAAAGACTGTACATAGTAGAGGGAAAAAAATGGAATAAAAAAAGGAATTGGATGTAAATCAGATACGAATGTTTATATGAGCACGGGGATTTAAAGAGCCCACCTCTGTTTACGCTTTCTCGCTGCACCCCACCCTCGCAACAGTTGATGAGTAAAATATCAAACTCAAGGTCAGAAACTTAAAATTGTGTTTATTTCGAAAGTAATGGATATAGGATGCCATATAGTGGCCTTCAGAAAAATGTTCCTGCAAATGCATATACACATCACCTGGCCTCTGAATGCAATCTTTAGTAATGCATGGATGGGACACCAGCTGTAAGAAATGTTCTTAGGGAATGCATATGTGGACGCCCATCCTGGAAGGGTTAATACAGTACAAAGTCTGTAATCCGGACTCGGCGGGACTTCGGCGGTTCCAGATTAAGGTTTTTTCCAGATTATAGGTCATGAATTTAAATCTGGTAAGATGGCATGCAGAAATTATACAATTAAAAATATGAAACCGTAATTTATGAAATAAAGAGCAAATATGATCTAAAGGGTATCAAAATTTACAAAAAAGAGCTTAATATTTATTTGTTTGCTTTATTAAACTATTTCTTTCAAAGTAAATTGTTTAAGTTTGCTTCATTTTATGTACTAATACTTTCTCTTTTAATTATGTAGATAAGACATAATTTCTTTTCCAGTTACAAAGTCCACTGTTCAAGTTTTGTAATTACTGCACGAAGAACTACTTACTGAATTGTCCAATTGAAATTCTTTTCGTTCTCAGCAACCTCTCTGTCACTTTCTTCACTATCGGAAGCAGTATTTTCTAGATCTAGAACCATACTATAGATTTAGCCATCTGTTAATTGATTGATGGTTGGGGCATTGACGTTGCAATGAAAAACTTCTTTTAGATCATCTTCATTTATTACCGCTGTTCCACATTTCTTTACAAAACCCAATAACTGGAAAATTTCACCTTTAGTTTGCGATGTCCAAAAACCTTCAAATTCGCAGCTGTCATCTTCATCATCCTCACCATGAAATATGGTAGCTGGCCAAAAATTAGTCCCAGCATTTTATAACGTATCTGGAGACACATCCTCCCACGATCTTTCGATGCTTTACACAGCAGATTTTATGCTAAAAAAAATTCAAAAAAAAAGTCTTGAATAGTTTTGTTTTGCCATTGTTTAAGAAATTTAACATAGATTTTAAAAATGCTACTTTATATTTGCACTTCAGCATGTGCACTATTCCCATATCCATAGGCTGCATGATAGATGTACAATTTGGAGGGAATAATAATATGGATACATTATCTTTCACTAAAACTTTAAGTGAAGTATGCGCCGAACAGTTGTCAACAATGAGGACTATTTTTGAGTCATCAGGTAAACCAACCGAATTAAAATATCGCCAAGCCTCTGGTATAAAATGATTTTCAAACCAATCATTCATCAACGCTTGTGTCATCCATGCTCTTTTATTTGCGCGATATGTAATGGGGAAAATCGTTACTCCTTTAAATGCTCGAGGTCGTGCATGTTTTCCGATTAAGAAAAGTTTGCACTTGTGCGTTCCTGCAGCATTTGCGTATGTTAAAATTGTTAGTCTCGCTTTGGAATCTTTGACACCAGTTGGAGCCTTTTCTGTATAGGTTGCCAAGGTATTTCGCAGTACATATTGCCTGAAAAGACCAGTTTCATCAGCATTGTAAATTTGTTCTGAAGATAATAGTTCACTAGTAATGAGTTCAATGAATTCATCTGTAAATTGTTCAGCATCAGCTGAGATGGATATGCCTTTATCCATATTTTGCAGCAATTCCACTTTTTGTTTGATGGACATCAAAACATGCTTTTGCTTTGTAGATCCTTTGGCAGCTCCAGAATTTGAAAATTCTTTTTGACATAATTGAAAGTTCAAGCTTAATTTTATAAAATTGCTCTAACAGTCTGCAAAAATAAGCCAGATCCAATTAGAAGATTAAGGAACAGTGCAATCTGCAGCATTAACTGAAATGCCTTAGAATCAGTAAAGGTAATTTTAGCCTAGCTTATACCGTCTGTTATACATTAAACGTGCATGCGTAAAGCATACAAAAAAAAGTTTGTGGCTTTGAGGTCCAGATTATAGATCATTCCGGATAATGGACGTCCGGATTACGGACTTTGTACTGTATATGTAATTTTTTCCTTGAAATAATTCTCCTTTCTGTATGCTTGCTTCAATTTTAAATATTTTAGATAAGTGCAAATAGCTTAATTGTAAATTAAAAAGTGTTGTTGATAGAGAAATCAAACTCAAGATTCAAGAATTTTAATTATATATTAAGTAAATTTAATTTGTTTTTAATAAAAGTGTAATTTAAAAAATAGTTTTAAATAAAATAAAGACCTCTCCAATCTTATTAAGTATTTGAAGGATTAATTCATCTTACGAAATAAGAATTTTTTACTCAGTATTTTACCTTTTTTGCCATGCATAGTACAGAAATTTAAATTATTTAGTTTTATACGTAAAAATAGCTGCTTGAGTGATTTTGATTTGATGCATTTAAAGGTATATTTTATGTAGCTGAATTTCTTCTTGATATTTATGTGTTTCAGGTGTACTAATCAGAAGAGAGAATATATTTAGAATTTTTATTTTAGTAGTTTAGTTTCCCACCTAATTTGTTGAATTTATCTTTTTTTCAAGAATTTGAGTCTAAAGATATTCGACAGATTTATAATTAGACTTTTTGAAATTATGTATAGGCTCTTATAACATAAATTGATAACTCATCAGATAAAATGTATGTGTTTCATTTAGAGGCATTAAAAAAAGGAATTTTTTGCTATTATTATTTCTAAAATATGTCCATAAATGCAGAAATCTTTTTGCAAATCTAATACACTTCAGTGTGCTTGCTGTTAGTTGTGCAGCAAATGTCTAAATCAAGGGTTCTCAACCGTTGATACACGTACCACTGGTGGTATGAAAGAGAAAAATAGGTGATATGCAAAGAAGCAAAGTATTTTTAACTATTAAATTCAAAAATTAATATCCCACCATCCTGATTGTGTTTTTTTCTCTAACATTCGTAAATTTATGCTATCTGAGCTTTGTTCAAGAGTGATGGTACTAAAGGTTTTCAATTTTTGTTTAGATGGTTGAGTCAAAAGGTAGAGAACTGCTGGTCTAAATGACAGTTTAGTTCAGCCTATATCTTCTGATGCCTTTGTGGCATTGTGTTTAGCAATATGGTCTTTTGTTCAAATACTGCAAGTCACATACTTTATCTTTAATCAAATCCCATCATTCTGGAAATTTCTTACATTGACGTGTGAATACAACAGAAGAAACAAATTTCCAGTATGATTTGCGATACAACATCTATCTGTAATATGTCTAGATAAATAATAAAATATATAGTTCATTTTGAAAAGAGAGAGAGAGAGAAATGATTTTATCCTTCAATATTTCACGGTATGTATTGCATTAGGGAGATTCCTGTTCATTTCCTACAAAGTAAAGGAAGTACAATGACAAAAAATTTAGAGTATCGTATTTCAACAAAAGTATCCATCTCAACCGCTGTCAAAAGTATTTGAACAATGTTTTTACATGACATCTGTACATATAGACAGAATAAAGGAGTAGTCTTGCTAAAAGGGATTGTAAAATGGATTCAGTATAGATATTTCATTTTCGTCTGTACATACATATGTATGTATTTAGCCTTTAGAATGAGTAGCCATAGAACATTGGAATTTTGTATGATGAACTGCTATAATGTCTAGTTATGCACTTTCGTTTCCCATTGCAATTTGACTGCACCAATCGTATATATATATATATATGTGTGTGTGTGTGTATTCCCACTCTTACCTGGCTCACTGAGCTTAGTTTTGTTCTTTTATGTTGGTAAATTGTGCATTTTTTGCTTTAAAAGTGATGGAATTATGTGTTTTTTATGCCTTTAGTTAATCTGCATAGAATACTTGTACATTATCAAGAATTTAAAGGTTTTAAGTATTGATTTAAGCCTAATGAACTACCATTTGTTACATTTGAAACTCGGTAAAATAATGAATTAAGTCCATTTCTGCACCATTAATGTCTTTTTGCAAAGTGAGATGAAAAGTAAACTCATTTTTGTGCACCAGAAAATCCGCCTTTTTAACCACCGGCTGAATTGCTTGTTTTTGAGTAGAAACTCTGTTTTTTTTTTTTTTTTTTTTATTTAATACTCTTTTAACTATATTTGGTGTTCTATGTTTTCTGGTATTTTACAATTTTTGATTGGAGATGTTTTGAGTTTTATGTATTTTTGCTTTGAAGCAAAGTTTGACTTGAATTAATTGAATGAAAAATATATCTGTAATGAAATTCGAGGAAATGCATTTAAATGAAAGGCAGCAAAAAGTGTGTATAATTTAATAGGCCATATAAAGAAGTCGTGGTATACACATCAGATTTTTAGTTTACATTTTGCCTCATGTATGAGGATGCTTTTTGAAATTTAGCTCCTGCAAAGAATTGTTCTTACTAATTAGCTTTTGGTGGCTAAATTATTTTAATTTTTTAAACTCATGCATTAAAATTCTTGTAAAACTAATATTTTATGTATTTATTTATTTTTTTAAGTGAAAAATCTATTTAGTGTAAAAATATTAGTCATGGAATAATTGGAACACATATCTTCCTTGGCCTTATTGATGTTTACTCATTTAATGACAAACCTATTACATGTTAAAATTAAAAAAAATACTTTTTAGATAATATCTTGTCAGTATTTGCTTTGATTTCCTTGTTGGTGTAAAAGGATTATGGAGTTCATATTTAATGTGATAGTTTAATAGATTTTATTTCAGATAAAGTTTGTGTTTTTTTAATATATATCATGATTTAAGTTATTTATTATTTTTAATGTTTTATAGCTGTTTTGCAGTATCAGAGGCAGCGGGAACTTTTGTCTTCCATATTAAAGCAACAACATTCTAGCCAAAATTTGTCACAATCTAATGTGTTACAGCCAATGTCACAGCGCCGTTGTCCGTCCGCTAAAGATATACCAATTCAACAGACTTTAGGACTTCCTACACTGGGAATAAGTCCTCGTCAGTCACCGTTGCCGCCTGAAGCCATTGGCTCAACTATTCCTAATCAAGGTCGCATACCTTCACCTCTTGGTAAATATATAATTTTTAAAGGTGTTTTGATATGCCAATTACATTTTTATTTAATTTTGTACAGTTTTAAAAATTATTAAACTTAATTTTGATAACTCATTTAATTTCACAAATGTTGCACATATTTCATTCTAGTGTTTGGTCAGCAGCCACCAGCATTAAGCCATGCACCAGCACCAATTCATCCTGCTGCTTTAGTGCAAGCAATGGCTCAGAATGCTGCTAGTTCTAATACTTTACAGGTGCAGGTAGGAAAATTTTTCTAATTCTTTGTAGAATTTTGTTTTATTGAGCTTAAATCTATTTGGAAGTAGAAGGGGACTGAAATTAAGGATAAACTAATTTTCTGGCTCTCCTTTCCCGATACATTAACTGCTATTTAACATAGTGTTTGAAGTGTAAAGCAGAGTAAAATAAGCTGGATTTTTGTTATTTTTTTCTTATGAATACAGAATAAAATGTGGTGCTCTGTCATTTTTTATGTGAAGTAGCAGCATAACTTAAAAAAGGTATTTTCATTCATAGGAATTGTGTATCTTGTATCACATATTAAAAACTCAAAATTTTTGTTTCATATGTACCGTACAAAGCCCAAGATCTGGAATCGGTGATTCCGGATTTTAGATCATCGATTTAAATCTAGTAAGACTATATCCGGAAGTTATAAAATTAAAATTATAAAATGTATTTGTGAAGTAAAGAAGCATTTATGATCTTAAAAGAATCAAAAATATTTTTTTTTGGGGGGGGGAAACTCCTCCACATTAACATGTTTTGTTTCATGAAATATTTTTTCAACATAAGTTGTTTAAGCAGTTTCTTTTATGTGCTGCAAAGTTTCTTTGTTCAGGTCTTGTAACTGTAGACTCAAAAATTACCATTAAGTTCTCAATTGAATTTTTTTCATTTTCAGCAACTTCTGTGTTGCTATCTTCACTATCAGCAGCGATGTTTTCCAGACTCAAAATTATGCTACATGTTTTGCTATCTGTTAATTGATTGATAATTGGAGTACTGTCATTACAATGAAGACATAAGCTGTGTCATCTTCATTTTAGATTTCCATTAGCATCACGTACTCCATTAATTGAGAATTTTTGGATCCTTTGCTGTTAAAAACCACATTTGGGAAAGAGGCATACTTCCTTGGTATTGGGCATCACCAGTTTAGTTTGGTTTCTTTCTGATGAACTATGTTTTTCATCTAATCAGTTTAATTGAAATAAATTTTTATGATTCGAGATTTGTCGAGAAATGACATGCAGCTACCATATTTTTTCAGACAGAAGGCAAGAAGCATGCTCTGAAAAGAATAACTGCATCATAAAATTGTGACTTGAAACTGAAATAGTGATATTTTTCTCTTTTCTTACTGCAAATTTTGCGATAGTGTAATAGTTTGACTGGGATTGCGGTGGAATACTTTAATTGTATCATCTGTATTTAGCATTTTTTTGCATATTCTATTAATTAATAAATTCTACTTTTTTAATTGTAGCATTATCCGAAAATCTTCAAATTTGTAGTTGAAATATGGCTAAATGAAATCATGAAATATGGCTATATAGCTATAAAACAGACCCATCTTGGTTTCTTTTGGCATCTTATGTAATCAGTATAGTTGGCAGCCGATATAAATAAAATGTATTCATAATTCAAAGCAAAGTGTACCTTTATTAAGTTGTCACAAATTAGTTAAAATTTATAATATTTATTAAATTGTGAGAACAATTTAATCAGAACTCCAGCTACCTATGCACACATATTTTTAAATATCTGCAGACCTGTCATTATCTGCAGATTTTTAAAGTAAAATATTTCAAAAATTCTTGATCTTGCTGCTGCATAGATTTCAGAAAGGCTGCTTTCTTTTATATTTGTGTAAGATTCCAATATCCATTAACTGACTGGCAGATATAAAATTTCAAGGAAAGAGTTAAACGAAGATGCTGTCTTTTTAAACACTTTAATAAGATAATAATAGAATGAACAAAAGAATAAACTGATCAAATTAAGAGTCAAGGAAGAGCTAGCTAAGCTTAAATTAATTGGAACCTTTTTCATTTTCCTTCTCTGCTGCATTCAACAAAAGGAAATCTTTATGTGCAACATTTCACTTCAAACATTGATCTTTGAGGTTCACTTAGTATGTACAGGGTTAGGTAAGTTAGGAAATGTTGTCCCCACAACAGTTCAAGAGCTGAAAACGAAAATGATTCCTTAGCCAGCAGGTATTTTAAGCTGGAACAACATGCAAGATAATTCAATATTGTAGCGTATAATGTTTTTTTTTTTTTTCGGGGGGGGGGAGACTTGGCTAATAGGGACAAAAATTAAAAAAAAAAAAAAAAAAGTATGGAAGTTTTGGTTAATAGACCATTCTGGTTATTGGATGTCTGAATTTCAGACTTCGAATTGTATTTTCAATTATTTGATGTTCATTATTATAGGAGTTAAGCAACAAGACTCAGCTTAATAAATTTGCATGACTAGTTTCGAAGATATAAACATAGAACCTTCTTTGGCTGCAGAAGTGCAAAAAAGTGTATTTAAACTTTTGAAAAGTAGTCCTGCAAATTCATGATTGTGATGATTCTTGTTCGACTCCTCGCATAACCAAGCATATTATTTTAACTCAGATATGTGTTCTCTATTTTAACTTACATTTTAAAGGTAAAATTTTTAAATAAATCAATTTTATGACAAAGTTACAAATTATTTTCAATTTATATTCATTATTTTTTTTTCCTAGTTTAAAATCTTATATCAGATATACAGTAATGAAATAATTATTTTTTATAAAAATGTCTAATTTAAACTTGTGATATATACATGTAGTTTTTCATTTGTTAGTTATTTGTACTTTGTCCAAATCATGAGATAGAAGTGTACAGCATTTAACCAGTTTTAGAAACAGGGTAGACTGTCAATATGCATTAAGACTCCCAATTAACAGAGGTAATAATGAAGGGCAGCTAAAAAACACAGGAAAGAGAAAAAACATACATTGTAATTATCAGTAAAATACTGTTAATGGAAACTTAATCTGAAGAATAAATTGATTTGATTGTGTAATTTAAATCAGTGTTTGAAATGAAAAGAACACACCATGATGAAACCTGCATTATGAATGGTATTAAAGAACACTGTTTGTATAAAAGCTTGCAGCGTCATTGCATTTGAATTAAAGCGGGGATTTGTGCCAATTTCTAGTTGGAAGTCCTTCATAAAAAAATCGTTTCTTAGGCAAATAGTCCTGGTGTGCTTTGATCATTATTTATTATTCTGTAATTATATAATGTGTTCTAATCTAATTAAATTGTGCAAAGTTATTCTTATTCATAAAAGAAACAATATTTTATCAATTGACAAAATGACTAGGATTTACCAAATTGTGTAAAGGAAGCTATGAGCTTTTATTGAAAATGTAGAATATTACTGAAAATCTGAGAATACTCCATTTATTATACAGTACAAAGTCCGAAATCCAGACGTCCATTAACCTGGAATGATTTAAAATCCATACCTCAAAACCACCAACAACGTTTTCTTGTAGGCTTTATGCATATGCATTTGATCCCCCTCCATGCTTAATAAAACATCTGGAGAGTTCCGATTCTTAATTTCACTTCGACACTAAATAAAATATCTTGTTACTGAAGAAACAATCATTTTAGCATAAATTTGTATGATCAGTAATTTGGCTTCATTGCTACATATCTGCTTGGCTTGCATCTCAAACCGAAACATTCCACATAGATACATCCTTGATCTGACGCCAACCTGGGGAATCATTATTTATTATACTTTCCTTTTATCACCACATGTTTATCAAAACATAACAAATTGAGTAATGATGTACTTATGTAGCGATGCCTAAACAAGTTTTTTATGTTAGTAATTGAGTAATAAAGAAGTGTAATAACCTTTTATGTTGACATTACGCTTGGCGATGATTACAGATCCTCTGGCTGATCATCCTGCAATTTCCACGGTCAACTCAAATGTAACAAAATTTACTTATCCCGCGATTTCTGTGGCATATGTTTTTCTTCCTTTATTGAGGAGTGCATCCCATTTTTTCCCTATTTAACCATTGAAAAAAATTATATGCAGTATTAGGCCTTTAGTTTACGTTTTGGCCAACAGATATCGTTAGTTGCCCACTAAATTGCGGCATTTGAAGGCACGTGGTATTAGCGCTCAAACATCACTTTTTGCCGCTTTTTTCTTACAGAAATGGCTGCTAGAAAATGTTATCTTGATTATTTAATTAAATTATTGAATTATTAATTAGATTTATTGAATCTGGTGCAAAAACTGTGAAGTTGGACTTTGCCTTGAACCCTGTTTTGAACTCTTAACATACTAAACTGCACTTCTAAGGCATTTTTTCCTCAGCGCTTTATATTTTCTTAAATTTTATACATTTTACTTTTTTTATATTATTCAGTAAATAGAAATTAACTGTAATTCGACTGAAATTTATTTTAAAGATTTTTTTTGGTGATGACATCTGAAATTGGTTTTTCTGGTAACTTAGTTTCTCATGATAAAAAAATCTATATAAAAATATTTTTTAGGGAAAAAAAGTGCATTTTTCAATTCCCCAATATATATATATAAATTTAAAATATGCAAAAAAAAAAAAAAAAAAAAAAAAAAAAAATTGTACACAATTTTGGAAGTGATTTTGGTTCACAAATTGAGCAGTCAGATTGTAACAAAAATTTCTTTCCATATGCTGAACATAGATTTTGTTGATAACAATTTTCTTTTGTACTGTACTATGAAAATATACATTTCTTAATGAATTGTGTTGCGAACGTGTAGCACTGGAAAGTGTAGATTGATCGTAAAAATGAGAGTAGGAAGCTGGATTCCATTCACTATGGTAGTATGATTTTTTTACTGTCAATAAGATCATTGCTATAACTATCTTAGCACAACCAGAGCATATCAACCAGAGCATATCATCTTTCATGTCATAATTATTGCTGCAGTAACATTCGTTTGATCCTGCCTTGGAGTGCTAGTTTTGGATGAAAGTTCTGCAAATTTTTTACTAAAATTAATTTCCTTTTACATAAAAAATTTTTATTGTTTTGAAATTTTTAAAATTAAAAAAAAAAAAAAAAGTTGACAAAAAAATTTTGTTACACGAGCTGAAACTTAAAAATATTCCTGCAGAATCCTGTCGTTCTCCAACGAGTACCATCTCCTCAAGAACTTGCCGTACATACACAGTCTATTCTTCAGAATGCTCTGATCAAACGAAAACTTGAAGAGCAAAAAGAGAACTTCCGCAAGAGGCAGGAAGCACAAAGGTAAGCATTTAAATATTTTTAAAATTATTAACTGCCTTTTAAAATTTCTTTGAAAACTTTTGTCCCAGTATGTAATGTGAATTAATGTATATTTGTTATATGTATATATAGAGGTTTTTGTATTTTCTGTTTATCCCGACCTTCCAGGAAAAAGAGCCCTTTATTTTGCAGTTATATGAATTAACAGAAAAAGGGTGGCTATTTTTATGGTTGATGGGTAATGTTTTATTTATAAATAAATAATAAGAGAAACACTTTGTAAGGGGGAAGAGGAAAAAAAAAAAAAAAAAGAGGCTGTGACAGTTGTTTACATTTTTACAGTTGGTGAGTATAATTTGGTGATCTAACACTTTATATGATTGGTGTGTATTAAAGTGTGTGAGATGTGCATATGCATGGGTTGACTGTTGTCATATTCTAGACTGGAAAGTATATCAAAACACAACAGTCCTACGGAATGTTCAATCCGGAGCTGCTGATAATCAAAATACCTGATATTTATTTAATTAAAAATAGGAAAAGGAAATTAGGCACAGTTGCTTCTTTTCTGTTGCTGATTATTCTGCATTTTTTGTTTTGAGAACTATTTCCATGCTTTGGAATTTTATTAAAATAAGATTATCCTTGCATAAGAAAGCACAAGTATTAAATATTTTCTTGATTCTTTTTTAATTAGCGGATTTTTATTGCATAATTCTGATCTATCTGGTGAAAGATATTTCCTATTTTAGCTGCGTGTTTTGACAATTCATTGGGTGACACTATAGTTTGTCGTTCTTTCAGAACTGCACAAAGGTGTTGTTAAGAGATGTTTTTGTTTCGTTTTGTAGTATGTATGTGTGTTTATTTTGCTTAAAGACTCAGATTGTGCCATATTGGTGAAAATCCTTCAGACAGTAGAGTTGTACTTTGTTGAACATGTGTTTGTTTTGCATATCCACAATACTAAAATAATTATTCATTCAATTGTAGAAAAAATTAAAGCTGTGAATTAAAATTGTGTATAACAAAGACTGTAAAAATTTTGAATTTGTCTTTTTTTTTTTTTTTTTTTTTTTTTTTTTTTTTAAGTATGTTTTTAGGAGAATAACTCAAAAGCTAAAGCCATACTTTTATCATTTAAACAAAATCCAGATCTTTTTCAATTCTGTTAAATGATTTTTCTGTTGATTCTTGTGTAGAATCTTTCTATGAAAAAATGGTAGGTAATCTTTTTTCAGTATGGATTATGATGTAGCCTTTTGCTTGGGGGAGGTAGACTTAATACAGTTATAAAACATAAAAACTCAGACAAAACAGTGTAAAATACAGACAGTTCTAAATTGCTGCCCAGCAAATAATGGTGGTTAGTGACCCTGACTGTTGTAGTGATTGGCCTGGGTTTAAATCCTGGACAAGGCATGGTTGTAATTATCTGTTCCTTCACAGGAGGCAACTGTCGCCACCTATTAGGGTGCTTCCATAATGAAATGGCCACCACTTCTGGCCCTTGAAGTGGCACAATGCTAATGGCTATTAAATGAAACACCCTGCCATTTAAAAATATAATTATTAGATTACTAGCAGAAGTTAGTTTTCATCCAAAATGGAGTTTGAGCTACAGTGTGTTTTGATGCACATGTTTGTAAAAACAGCTGTGTTACATTAAAGAATACATTAATTTTCCTTTGTCTACATGGGGAAAATATAGGAATCTGGTAGTACATTGCTGAATTCAAATGTTTAAGTTAAATTGAGATTTCATGCTAAAGCATTGAGAGAAATTTAGTCAGTGTAGAAAACGCAAAAAAGGACTTCTCAAATATCATGCATTCAAAGCTTTAAAAAAAAAGAAAAGAAAAGAAAATCTGAAATGTTTCAGATTTTACATTTTGTCCAAAGCAGCGTTTTTTAACATTTTGTGTGTTACATTTATTTATTAAATATCTCCTTCTTCGCAATTAAACCATAAAATTCAGTTCAACAGCAATATTGCAAAATAGTTTTAAAATGAGCATATCTTTAGAATTTCCGATACAGAGACTTATGCACTGGAGATAAAAATTTGTTTTCTGTTCAATATTGCCATCGTTCGCTTTGAAATCCTTGAGTTCGTTAATCGAAAATTCGTTAAAGTTTTACAAAACAGGAAATAGATAATAAAACAAATTCGAAACTTGATCTTCCACATGCCCATATTCTTAGGAGGATTATGTCATTCAAAATTCGATGGCTCTATGTACTGTTGTTTTATTACAATGTGAGAAATATACATGCATTTTATGCAGATTTTTCATTATTTAATTTCTTTAAATGTAACACAGGATGATAATACTTTGTGGCAACAGTTTGAAAATGATTCGGTGGTTGTAGTGAATCGATGCAAAATTGCAAAACGAAAACAATAGTCCTTCTGGGACAAAGCCCCTTTGAATTAAAAATAATGTATTTTATTTTTCATTTGAATTCGGGTGCTGATTTCAAGCATATTTTGTAGTTATTTGAAATTATCATCATACTATTGCTTAAATTAGAAATTATATTGTTTAGGTACATGAATTTTTGTCCATTTGTATGTTATCATAAAGCTCTTTGTAAACCTAGTGCCATGTATTGAGAGTCCTCATAATCATGAATTTTGGGAAAGAGTATTTTTTCGGGATTCTCAAATGTTCTGTTGATGAGATATTAAACTTTAATGGAGTTGGTGATGTCTGTTCCAACTAATATTTTGATGTATAATTATTTTTCCCTACTCTGAAGTTCTATCCGCCAAAATATTTTATCTAACTGAGTAGAATTTCAAAGATTATAACAGTTGTTTTTAACTGTATTTCACATTGAATCTTTCATAGGAGAATTTTTCAGATTTTTCATTGTACTGTTTTGGGCTGATAGCATGAGTTGATCATAATGTTGGGAATTTTTTGGTTCTTAAAAAAATTGCTGTTTGGTTACAGTTAATTAGGAAGCGTAAAAATCCAGAAATATGGTGTTAAAAAAGTTGAGAAATAAAAAATACGAGGCACGTCCAGAAAGTAAGTTCCGTTTCAATTTATCTCCGCTGCAGCTCTGCGATCGCAGTTCCGCACGTGCGCAGTAGACGCTCTGTATCAAGGAGAAGACACGTGCCAATTGGAGATTGCTGTCAGTCACGTATGCTTTGTTGTGCTTGTTTACAATGTCGGTGTTGATTGAAAATCCCGCCGCTTGTGAAATCAGATCTGCCATTCGTTTTCTGAATGCGAGGAAAGTGAAACCTAGTGAAATTTATCGGCAAATTTGCGATGTTTATGGACCAAAAGCAATGAGTGATTCAATGGTGAGAAGATGGGTCCGAAAGTTCAATGACGGACGTAGTGATGTGCACGATGAAGAACGAAGTGGGCATCCATCTTTGGTTACAGAAGAACTGGTTCACGTGTTTGAGATGACAAGATCCATGAAAAACGAAAGTTTACAATTAGTGCTCTCGCTATGGAATTTCCCCAAATTCACGATCACTAATGTATTAAATTGTTACCGAAAAACTGAAATTTCGTAAACTTTGCTCACGTTGGGTACCAAAGATTCTTACTAAGCAACACAAAACAAAACGGATGGGTAGTGCACTTCAGTTTTTGACCCGTTATGCTGAAAGCGACGAAGAATTTCTGACACAGATAGTTACAGGAGATGAAACTTGGGTTTCTTGCGACACCCCTGAAAGTAAGCGGCAACCAATGGAATGGAGGCACACTTCATCCCCAGCAAAGGTTAAGCCGAAGCAAATCTTGACACCTCGAAAAATGATGTGCACAGTGTTCTGGGACTGGAAAGGCATCTTACTCATTGATTTCTTACCGCGTGGTGAAACAATCAGAGCAGATGCTTATCGCGAGACACTTCGGAAATTTCGCAGCGCAATACAGAATAAGCGCCGAGGATTGCTGTCAAAAGGTGTTGTTTTTCTTCACGACAATGCACGACCACACACTGCAAATGTGACGAAAAACCTCCTACAGGGATTTGGGTGGGACGTGTTTGACCATCCTCCGTATAGCCCTCTCCTAGCGACTTTCATCTATTCTTACATCTTAAGTCTTTCCTTGGCGGTCAACACTTCAACAATGATGACGAGCTGAAAGTGTTTCCAACTGGTTGAAGATGCAGGCGGCAAATTTCTATGAAGAAGGTATACAAAAACTTGTGCCACACTATGACAAATGCCTGCAATATTTCGGCAGTTATGTGGAAAAGTGGTTTAAGATTTGTTGAATTTTGTGCAATAAATAACTTTTCTGTAGCTGTACACAATTTACTTTTATTACCAAACGGAACTTACTTTCTGGACGTACATTGTAAAAGCATTTCTTAGTTAAAGTATTCATAGTGCATTTCTGAAATCACATAGGCCAGTATATATAAAATTGTGCACTCTAAGAAAAATTTCTTATAACTGATCAAGAATACTTGCCTAGTTTGATATATAAAACTGAATAAAAATGACTGCTTGTTTTCTTTCATCATACTAATCATACTGGAATATCTTATCCTATGACTGGTGATTCTGTAACTTGTCAGAAGAGGGGAAGTTGTACTTGCATCCTACCTTGGCAACATCAAAAATTGGCTGCCTTTGAACCATGAAATTTAAAAGAATTCCCCCCCCCCCAATTATGCCTGTCATACCTATGGAATTATGAAGGAACTGACACATCTTTATTTAATCAATATTTGATCTGCTTCATTTTTATGCTTTGTAATAAAAGGCTTTCGTTGATTTCTTGTGTTTCATTAAGCTATCTGATTTTACTGGTAGTTTCATTTATAATGCTATGAACAAGCCTTGAAATAATGGTCACCAGCCCGATATCACGGACTGAAAATTTACAGCTACTGATGTGATAACCTTGCTATGTAAATTTTGATTGTGAATTGCAAAAGCTAGGAATGCCTAGCTGGGCAGAAAATACATAGTACAGCTTGGAAGAGATGGAAATGCAAACATGATTGGAAGAGAAAAAGGATATAAAGAAACATCTAACACTATATTGCACACAAGTTAAATTTAAGTGTGTTGTGCTCAGTCAAAGGCACAGAATATCTTGATAACTGTCTTGAAATGAAAGTGTCCATAAGAAACTATATGAATTTGATAGTAATTCTCAAAATAAAAAAAAAATAAAATAAAAAAAAATAAAACTAAGGTAACTTAGGCCAAGTTGCTCAGCTGTTGTAGTTGAAACTCCTGAAATTGAAATATTTACATCAAATTCGATGGGTATCAAGTAAAGTTAGTGCTCTTTTTGCTCTGTTAAATAATTATGATGTAGTGTTTATTTATTTCGAAGCATCAAATGAAAAGGGAAAGGGTGCTATATCCAGAGGATTGTTGAAACAAATGAAAAACTTTTGTCTTAATTTTATATTTGATTTTTTCCCCCACATTCTAGGAAATTTCTCTCATTTTTCAACCAAAGACCATGATTTTAAGCAGGGTAGAGGTTTATGTTAAATAGGGAACTCTGAAAGTTGAAGGACTTGGAATCTATATTACCAGGTACATATGAACAACAGTTTGCCAGTTCAGCTACTATCAGTGGTAGTTTTGGGAACATTCAGCTTAGCCATAGTGATCATCAGATTTTTTGATTCATACAAACAAAAAGTAATTTCACATGTAATAAAATACCTCTAGAAGCATTTTCTATGAGGAGATGTGAGTGTTATAAAGGCAAGTGCTATCTTTGAAATTTTAATGTAGCCTCATGACAGTTTGGGAAGTATGAAATTGTGACTTTGTACAATCACTTCAGAGGATATGTCATTTCAAACCCAGTCTTCTAAAGTAAAAACTTGAAATCTTTACCGAATGAATGAGTTTAAAGTTTTAGGACAGCATGTAGAAATATATGAATTGCTTTCTTAATTAAATTCACATAAAGATCAACTTTCTTTCCTCATCCACCTGTTGTCAATATTTGCAGTTTTGTCATCTTCCACAACATCTTATGGACAAGGTTTTAGCCAAATGAATCTTCTTAAGATTGATCTCGGAGCATGTATAGACAATATGATTTTGGGTGACCTTATGATGATTAAACTCAATGGAACTTCACTAATAGGCTTTCAGCCACAGAGAGTGATAGACTCTGTTTATTGGAAGCAAGATGCATTAGCACTGCAAACAAGAAGTATGTGAAGCATAAGTTGGATGAAGGCAATTACTATGTAAAAAGTTAACAAGACTGCAATGACTAGTACGCATAAGCTTTTATTATTTTTTTGGAAGCAAGGAGTTGGTGACCACATTATTTTTCCCTAATAGATTTTTTGAAATTATTTCAAACTTTGGCTGTAAACTTTCCAAGTAAATTTTTCCAGTCTATTACTGTTTTGTCAGCTATATTTAGTTGACCATGTTGTGTCTCTTAATACACACTTTTTAATTTGGTGATGGCGTGCCATAATTTTGAAAATGGTCTACTGGTTTTATTTTGTAAAAGGCAGGCTCTGTTTCAGTCTCACCCCCTCAAAAATACAAAAAAGAATACAGAAGTCATAGTTAATTTAAATTCTTGTTTATAAAAACAAAGTACTGTCAGAAGTCTTTAATCTGGACTCGTCGAAACTTCGGCGATTCCGGAATACAGATTTTTCCGAATTATAGATCATCAGTTTAAATCTGGTAAGATGGCATGCAGAAATTATAAAATTAAAACTATATTATAAAATTATGAAATAAAGAGCAATTATGATCTAAAGGGTATCAAAATTTACAAAAAAAAAAACTTAATATTTATTTGTTTACTTATTAAACATTTCTCTCAACGCGTGCTTGCATAAAGCATACATTACGCATAGTCGAAATTAGAAAATTGCAACCAGAAAACTATTTGATGTGTATTCATGATATTTATAATGACGAGGAGTTTAATTTAAATCATATCAAAGACGGAGTACATCGAGATGAAATACAGTCAAAAGTCATTAATTCGGACACCCATAATCCGGAATAATCCATAATCCGGACCTCAAAGCTAAAAACTTTCTGCGCAAGCGCCACGCTGACACATGCGCATAGACATTTACGCGTGCGCATAAGACCTTTACGACTGCGCATATGCGTGTGCGCAAGTGCAGAATACGTTTTCGCGTACGCGTTTAATGTATAACGGACGGTATAAGCTAAAATTATCTAATTATCTATTTCAGTTAATGTTGATGATTGCGTTGTTCCTTAATCTTTGAAAATTGAATGTGGCTTATTATTTTTTGCAGACTTGTAAGAGCAATTTTATAAAAGTAAACTTGAACTTTCGATTATGTCAAATAGAATTTCCGATGCTGGAGCTCCCAAAGGATCTACAAAAGGAAAGTATGTTTCAATGTCCATCAAACAAAAAGTGGAATTGCTGCAAAAAATGGATAAAGACATGAAGAAGGTGACAGAGAGGTTAGTGAAAACGAAAAATTTTCGATTGACAAGTTAGTCGGTATTCTCGGCACAGCAATTACGGGACTTGAACAGAGGAACATTGTAACTGAACAAGAAATTATGTCTGTGTATAGAATTAAAGAGAAAGTATTATCACATAAAACGAAGCAACTTAAACAACTTACATTGAAAGAAATGTTTAATAAAGTAAACAAATAAATATTAAGTTTTTTTTTTTTTTTTTGTAAATTTTGATACCCTTTAGATCATAATTGTTCTTTATTCATAAATTACGGTTTCATATTTTTAATTTTAGAATTTCTGCATGCCGTCTTACGAGATTTAAACTGATGATCTATAATCCGGAAAAATCGATAATCTGGAATCGCCAAAGTCCCGACGAGTCCGGATTAACGACTTTTGACTGTACTACATTTAGTAAGTAATTATAAGCCGAATAAAATAAAAACATCTGCCCTGAAGATAAGTATAGTGCTGACAGATCAACTTCCAGTTCATTGCGTGCCACAACGTTTCCACCCTCGCAGAGCAGCGTGCAATTAATAAACAGATTTTGGAATGGTTAGAGAAACAAAGGATATGCCTTTATCCATTTTTTGCCAGCCATTCCAATTTTTGTTTGATGGACATTGAAACATGCTTTCGCTTTGTAGATCCTTTGGCAGCTCCAGAATTGGAAATTCTTTTTGACATTATCGAAAATTCAAGCTTACTTTTATAAAATTGCTCTAACAGTCTGGAAAAAATAATAAGCCAGGTCCAATTAGAAGATTAAGGAACAACGCAATCTACAATATTAACTCAATTAGATAATTAGGTAATTTTAGCTTAGCTTATACCGTCTGTTATACCTTAAATGTGCATGCGTAAATGTATTATGCACACACATTATTTTATAAACAAGAATTAAAATTAACTATGACTTCTGTATTCTTTTTTGTATTTTTTTCTTTTTGTATGTGTAAACGCATGAGCAGAAAGTTTGTAGCTTTGAGGTCCGGACAATGGACGTCCGAATTGAAGACTTTTGACTACGTAATTCTGCAATAACCTTCATCAACAAAACAAGCAGACATGAAAATCTCATTAAGAACCATCTGTCA